AAAAAAAAAAAAAAAAAAAAAAAAAAAAAAAAAAAAAAAAAAAAAAAAAAACCTACTTAAATATTTATAATGTGAAATCTTTTTCTTATATGTGTATTATTACGACTTTATCAATGTATTCTCGTCAGTTTTTGAAGATGCCTCACAGCAAAAACAAATCTAGTTTCAATACCCCGAAAGACATGCACTCAAGGTATTCACTGTAGCAGGTGCTCTACACAAATTGTACGTTTCAGCAATAAAGCAACCGAGGCTATCAGTACAGAACCTTCCAAGAAATATGCTTAGTACCTAATTGCAAAAGTACTTTTAAACTTTTTGAAAATTCTTTTTTTATATACACTCACACACTTACGTCTATGTAGATTTGGTATTTCTATTTATATATGTATACATGTATAATGGGACATATCGTCTAGAGCTTAGAGTTGAACCCACAAGCAAGCCCTGCAGCTATTGTTGTTGAATTGAAGCTCAGTAGTCAAGCACTCTATGTTTCAATTTGCAACTATACGAAATACATATCTACATATATATATAATCAATTTATACTTATAATATACACAAACTATGTACACATATAGTAAGATTGAAAAATGTCGAAAATGTCGGGCTACTGTACACAATTCGATACCTGAAAATACAATTGTCGAGTTGCATAATGCACGGATATTCGAAGGGAAGATCGGACAAAACGATGGCTAAATAAATACAACAAATTAACCCTTTTATTACACATATTTAAACTATCTTAGAATTCAATGTAAGTCTACTCAACTTTTTAAAAATTAAAATAAATTACAAAAACAAAAAAATATAGAAAAATAGTAACCAAAATGATGCTCTTGAGATACACAAACTTTTAGCAGCCAGTTTTGTTGCTAAAATTTAACTGACCTGAGCAAACTACTGTATATATATCTTTATGGATAATATCTGATATATATATATAGTAAAAATAGCAAACAAAATTGGCTACTAAAAGGTTAAGGCTTTGTAAAGAATTGAACAAATCTTAAAGTAAATGAAATCCACCCACACAAACACACACACACACACACACACAAATTAAGTTCAGATGATTATGAAAGAGCACGGAATTGTTAAAACCGAAGGTAACTAACTACATTCCATAAGAAACGTAAGGCATTCACAATTAACAGAATGTAACGAACCCAACGTTCACATACCGAAAAGCAAACCGAAAACTAAAGCTAAAATAATATTCACAAAAGAAAAAGAAAAATTAAAAGAAAATATTAATGGAGTTATAAGTACCTTGAATTAGCTGGTAGAAACTTAACCAAAACAAAGTATTGTTGCTAGAAAAACAAAATGAAAAAGAAAACAAAATCAACTTTTAATTTGCAATTTTATTTTAAATACTAATTGTCTATTTAAATGTTAAAAATAAAATACTTAAGTGTAAACAAAACATACAAATTTGTTTATACAACATAACAAATTAAGAGTGGTATTGAATAAAAATAATAAACAACAAAAGATCCATTGAACTATATATATAAATATACATATATATAAATAAATAATTACATATATGAATGTCTAAGTAAATATATATATACATACATATATACAATTATGAAAACTAACAATGTATGTATGTATGTATACATGTGTATATGCCCCGTGTAAATAAGGAGACAAGCTACATATTTCATATGGATGCAAATGAACGTTGAACGCGAACAAGAATTAATTATAATCATAATGAAAACCAAAAACCAAAAACAAAAAACTAACAAGTGATAATTTGTTTATATTTTTCCAATTTACAACAATTTGCAAACAATTTTTCATATAATCTTTTAATCTTTTATATCGTTTACTCGAGATCCTAACTAAATTCTTAACATACCTAAACATATCTTTGCAATTTTGCAACAATTATGCGTTTCTCTGAGCATATTTTTGAAAGTTTTAAATTTTAATATACAAAACTTAGTAATATATACATATATATATATATATATACTATATACATATATACGATATTATACGTAAGCCACAAAACTATATCACAAACATATCAGCGTATAGAAACTATAAATGTTATAAAACGCAACTGCAAACTAACTGCAAATAGAGATCAGATTAATCTATATATAACCTATATCTGTAGGCAAATATGCAACATATCAATTATTAAATAATAAACAAACAGAAACAAATGAAAACATATCAAATATGCAAACAAACGGAAAATAGTAAAAAGTCACAAATAGCTAATTGTTAAAGAGTTTTTAAAAACTAACAATTTTTTCAAATGACAAATTTATTTAATAATTTATTTCATTTCAGACCTTGAAGCTCTGCAACTTGTTTCAGCGTTTTAAGCCCAAAACTGACCCAATAATTATTAAAATGCTGAAACAATTCTGCAAAACTTTACACAACAAATATTTAATAGGAAAAAGTATATAAAATTCATTTTATTTTAAATTTATTTCATATTCCTTTTTTTTCTACAAAATAGTTGCAGCCATGCGTACGTTACGTATTGTCAGTATTTCTATATTCAAATATCAATAAACATATCTGAAAATGTTACAAAAAGTCGAATAAGTATTGCAGCAAACAAGAGTTAAAATACTCTTCAAAAATCACACAAAAAAAAGACATGAAAAAAAAAAAAAAACAAATCAAAAACAAAACTTGAACTCAATTGCAAAAGAACAAAAACTTAAAACGTATTTTGAAAACAAGAAAAACTAAAATTATTACAAATTCTAAGTGTATATGATTATAGATTGAAATGCAGAAACCTAAATACAATTTTAAGCATTCCAATGAAGCTATTTCCTTGGTGTGCCGTTTTAAAAACAATCCGAATGTCTTTTATTTTGAGTAACTATGGAACTATTTTCAGCAATCGAAGTCATAAAAAATTTTTCGTTTATCGTTAAGAAAAAGCTTTGACATGATAGAAGCTACTAAACCACTAACAAGTCCAGATATGTATATTTCGAAATGAAGATTGTAAAATTGAGGAGTTGTCATGATTCGTATCTTTTCGGAATTTCACTTAGTAATCATAATATTGTCGTCTGATTTCATTAATTAATTGAAATCGTTAGCTATTTATGGGCCTCGCTTGTTTCAATATGCGCGCAAAGCAAGTTTGAATTCAACAAGTGCGATAAGATATAGCATTCCGTCTATTTGGATTCCTACACACACACATACTCAGACAATATCTTGCACCTTTACTTTCGCCCAAAACAAGTGAAAAGAGAATGAGAGTTGTTGAAACACACATTTTGATAGCATCTCGGTTAATAGAACAGCTGAGAGCTAGCCGAGCCGAGCGATCTCTTCGCAAATAGAGCATTTCGTATCTCTGTTACTTTTCGTTTTATAAGTATTCTAATCAGGTGGGAGACGTTTGCATTGGGTGTCTCATTTCTCATTTGTGCTTCTGATAGCCTTGGTAGTATTTGTATTTGCTCGCTGCTGATTAGGGGCTCTCAAATGTTGCTGCCTTAGTCGCATTTCACATTCTAACGCACTCGGTCAGCGATTTAGCGGCGTCTATCGCAGGTGTTCTGGTGTCTGGTACGATCATGCGGGTCGCGTAGACAGTAATCTATCATCTGAATGATTGATTGGAAGGCCAATAACTCTATAAGGCATATCGGATTATAGCTATAGTGCAGTGATAAAGCTAGACAGCCTTAAACATATGTAAGTGCTGCATACTCAATTAATTCGGCTGCCTAAAAGTATGTGACAGTGTTGAGTAACGTCAGAAAAGCAAACAGAAGTATATCAAATAATATAAACTGTTCTTTGAATTCACATTCTGAAAAATAATAATACAAAATGCACGATCCCAGCGATTATGATTCAGTCTGTAGTGACGAGGATTTCATGAATGTTATACAGGGCGCTGAAACGCCCCCATTAATGAACTATGATGAATTTATGATAAAAACCATGGGTAAGTATTTTAATTTTAGGTGCACTATCAGTATATATTAACGTATATACATATATACAGCTAGAAGTATATGCAGGAATACGTCAGTCCACATTAGAGCTGTCAACAGCTGTAGCTCTTATCTAGCTGTTTGTCATGGCTTTAAATTTTGATAAAATGCCGTGATGTGAAAAGTATGCCCATGATAAAAGGCTAGATAAATTCTACTCAAACTACCAGATAATGTTAGATCTCTATATGTAATACCTAACTGAAGACTTTTAGAATCGAGAAATTAGCTCAAATATTATACGTAGGCTTTTTATCATACCTCTTTTACAAATACAAGTGAAAAGTATAAATTGTAAATATTTACTGAGCTGCAAGCTATTTTCCAATTTGACTCTTCGATGCCTATCAATTAATTCCAATTCGATTTAAATTGATTGCCTTCTCTGCGAGCGCCAGATCATTTCCATTTCTATTTAAATGCACCAAAATGAAATTGGAACTTTTGAGCTGCTGTGCTCTCAACGCTGTTCCCAATGCAATCTGCTCTCAGAGCGAATGCTGTTAGTTAACAGCTGGACAAGCAGCTTCAATGCCGAAGCCAACATGCTCTTGGGTTTCATTTTAGTGTCAATTATATCATACAGAAATATATTAATAAAATTGCAGCATTATATTACATTTACTCCATATAACCATATTTGTTTATTTATTCACAACGCAGAACATAAATAAACACATTGTTTTGGTAGGTCAAATAATAGCCGTGAGTAATGGCAGTGAATAATGGAAGCACCACTGTTAACAGAACCGTCTTCTGTAGTTTGCCCGCTCTTTCGTCGCTTAACAGTGCTGGCAGTTGATTTAGCTATTTATTTATCCCGCTAGTGGTGTATATTCCTATATATTATACATTTTATATAGCGAAATAAGTGTGATTTAATAAACGAAATTCTGTTACAGTAAAAGAGAATTGTCAACAACTACAAACATTGCTCATTTAGTCTCAAAGTAGCTGAAATCTCGTCGCTCACAAATTTAGCCGCAGTTTTTAGCTTGCGTTTTGCTGCCTCTCGATAATAGCTGACACTGCCGCTTGCTCTAAAGATCGGTTTGCTCCAATCAGACAGTCACGACAGCGCAGTCGCGCGAGAAACTTCGCTTTAAGTGCGCGGAAGGTTTTTACGTTTTTATGGCAGAGGTAAAACGAAACAGAAACAGAAACAACAATCAAAAGGCAAAGTAAAAAGCAAAAAAAAAGGGCAGCTATAAAAGAGCGTCGTACTGAGCACCGCCTCACACTGTAATATTTGCCATTAAAGTGGCTTTAAATGTTTAATTAAAAGTGTGTAATCCAAATGTGCGCCGAGCAGAATGAGAATTCGCTCGTTTCGTTGGCTCAAAGGCTGTGCAAAAATTCAATTAAACGCGGACGCCGATGATGGCGTCAACGGCGCAGCAAGTTCAAGTGCAGAGTGTTTGTGTTGTCGGTGCCAAGCAACAAGTTGCTTATAGAAATAACAATAATAATAATAATCCTATTGTTTAATTAAAGTGAAATATTCATCAAAGATAAATATTTGTCGTACCTGCTTGACCGTTTGTGTGTTTATTTCTAGCGCAAAAAACAAAATAACAAATTTTCTATGGCATTTTCTGTCTTTAACTCTTTTTCTTGTTCCCACACATACATACACACTCGGCATAAACACACACACGCACGCATTCATATACATATAACATTACGCTGCCGCTCACAGACACACAAATTGTAGTTGTTTTTACTGCCTGATTCTTTGACTCACAAATTACCCGAGACGGCAACAGCGACGTCAGCAGAGTTAGAGGCAGTGAAACTGTTGTCTGTTCCACCATGCCATTTGTTTCATATCTGGTTTTCCCTTTCCATGCGCGTGCTTGCGTATTGGAATGTGCTCACTACGTGTTCCACTTTGCCAGCCGTTCCGCCTCAGCGTCAACCTCAACCCGGTGTTTGTTTTCTGATCAAACAGCAGAACGGAAGAGCGCAAGAGAAGCAACCACCTGTGCTGCTTCTCGCTCTCTCGCTCGCTCTCTCATCTGTTGCGATAAGGAATACACACATTGATAAAATGAGAAAAAAGCGGGCTGCACTATCAAAATAAGTAAACAACAAACTAAAAGGCGTGTTAAATTAACCAAGCCACAACAAATGGCATGCAAACAAACAAGAAACTCATTAAGGCAATAGCTCTCTGCCGTTTAACGGTAGTTTTTTCTTCTCCCCCACCCGCTCCCTCGCTTTGCATTTGTATTTGTTTAAGTGTCTGTGTTTTTATGCTGTGCTTGACTTTTTTATTTTTTATTTTTTACTCTCTGTGTTTATTTTGCTTTTGCAAACATCAATTTCAAGGCAGGTACGCTGCAGGTGTCAGTTCTTATTTCTTGTTTCCCACCAAATTTTGCACCTCATATTTGTATAAAATGTTATTTATCCAGAAACCAACGAGCGCGCCTTTATTTTCAATAATTTCCGCGAAATATTACGAAATACAAGAATAAAGAGTGAAGCAAAAAACAAGTGAGAAAGTGAAAATAATGTCAAAGAAATAATCATAAATAGAGTCTTACGAGAAAGAGAAGTGGAATAAAGGCTATGTGATTCAGCAATTTAATACAATACAAAATTTGAAAATAATCGAATTACGTGTTTTCAACCCAACGAAACTCTGGATCTAACCCAATTTTTATTAAGAGCGACTTACGAAAATGGAACCAGCAATTTTAATTGGTAAGCGATGGAATTTCTATTAACTTTATGGAGATTACAGAAGACTAACAAAACAAAAGTGAACTAAGAATATTTTTAATAATATTATAAATTAATTATTACAAATTTATTTATGTTCCTTTTGATATTTTTAAAGATAGAAGGATATAAAATTTCAAATAATATAACAGTTGGATTATAGGTGCAAAAGTTATATATATTTAATATGATCCATGTTATCATATCTAAATATATGTATATCTCTTGGATATGATCTTTAAAAGTATTGAAAGAAATGCTAGACTTCAATAATGATAAATCTAGTTCTTTTTAAGATGATAGTCAAGTTGACATCGTCTATATATAGATCACAGTATATACATATATCATAGACTGCACAAAAAGTTTTCTTTATGCGTTGATATCTCTGGAGACCGTTCATTATTAATGAATTGCAAGAGTTCACGGTGTCGATATAATCAATATTGATGATCGCATTGCCTGGGAATTTGAATTAATGATACAGTAGCTGAAATCATAATGGCTAGCAAATTACGGCCTGCACTTAGGAAGTCCCACTCCAAATGGAAAACCATTAAAAAAAACTTGGGCTAACAAATTGCAAAGTTGTAATCTTGAGTTATACAGACAGATGCACATGTGTATATATATGTATATGTATATATCCATATATTTTATGGGGCGCAAGCGTTTTTCACTCACATGTGCTCCACATTCAATTGAAGACAGACGTACGGACGGAGAGACTGAGAGACTGAGAGACGGACAGTCAGTCATAGACACATGTGGCCAAATGCAAATGCGCATTCGCATTCCGCAGCAGTCAAAGCCAGCAGCAGCAGCTGGTTGTGGCAGACAAACCAGAGACAGACACAGACAGACACGGACAGGGACACGGAGACAGAAGGCCCAAAGTTAAGCCCACACACCCACATACACATTAATTGTGGCAAATGGCAAATACAAATTGCTGCGGCTCGATACCAAATCGAGTCTCAATTACCGATAGACCCAAACACTCTGCCCACAAGCCTCAGAGCGGTTGGAGCTCATTAGTGCGCGGGTTACGCAACGGGCAGAGGGGCGCACACACACACAGATACACATGCACATATATGTATGTATATTTGAATATTATTGTTGTTGTGCTTATAGAGCGAAACCGCCAGCGCCGGCAATTGGACCACGCCCGCTAGTTGTCTGATCATTAAATGCTCAGTGAAACGAGCTATGCGAGAAATGCAGATGCCCGCTGTGTGGATGTGTGTGTGTGTGTGTGTGTGTGTGTGTGTGTGTGTGCTTGTGAATGGGGTGTGTGCCCGTGGCGGGCGTGTGCAACATGTGGTCGCAATTGCCAGTTCGATGCGCGCTGACAATTGTCAGGGCTGGTGCAAAGAAATTGTTTCATCTCTGAAGAAATTAAACTCAAATGGGGGCACGAGCTCTGAGCTTTTTGCGTTGTCTGCTGCTTCTTCTACTTCTTCATCATTTCCCTTGTCAATGGGGTTAATTTAATCGGGGTCTGGGTGCTTGTTAGGCAAAGTCCCAGAGATAAACTAAATGATGCTTAAACTCTGGTCACGCAATTGGCGCCAAACTGATGGCACGAATTTATTTATTATATTTATATATATATTTTTTATATTTACTACAAATATACATATGTGTCTGTGTATATGTAACATACATGTATTATATATGCATATATATTTATCGAGTTGCTTTCTCTCTCTCTCGCTCGCTCTCTCTTTCTCTTTACTTTGTATAGACAAATATTTTTGAAGTGCTGAACATAAATATTGGATTACTATTGGTATATATACTTCAACATTGCAGTCGAGTTTAAGCGACTGCAGAATACTCGTTACTTTGGCGTACCCTATTACGATTATAGTCTTAGCTTTAGGGCAGTTTAAAAGTGATTAAACCCAAGACTTGGATATTTTCACTCTAAGACTGAAGAGAGAATGTATAGATTGTAGGGTAAGTCCTGTTTTGCTATGCCTTAAATATACTCTTTTCATTTAGCAAAAGAGTGCCCTTAACTACTTTTCAATAACTGCATTTTAATAAAAATTTTTTAATGAAAACCAAAAAAAAAACAATTTCTTTGATAACATTTCGTAAATTGAAAATGATCAAATTGCATTCAATTAAAGGAAATATAAACTCAAAGTGAATATTGAAGAGCTACTTCTGAAAATATATCAGATTCCATTTGTATTCCATATGGGATAAATCAATAAGTAGGAAGCTCTAGAGGCTCTTCTGGGATAATCGTACGTATCCCTCACGCTCGCTACAAAGCCAATATATTTTAATATTCATTTGGCTCACTCTAAAGTACACTCTTATCGTTAACAAACTTGTTTTACTAATTGTGTTCGAACGTGACTACTTATTGCCCTGCGAAACTACACATACATATGTATGTATGTTTGTATATGTGTACAAATACACAGCTGTGTGTATTGTATAAGCACTTGTAAGTTTGTTGTACGAAAGCTGCTCGTAACTGAAAGTAAACATTGCACCGGCTGTCAACAGGCATTAGTAATGATAATAGTTAATAATAATTAACGTTAGCTTCAGGCGAATGTTCTCCCGCCCAGCGAGGCGAGAGACGAGCCATGTCTAATTAGAAAGTTTGACTGGCAAATAAGGCAAATTGACTGGCCATATGGAGTGGCCAAGATATCAAGGTAAAAGCAAAAGCTCTGCTCACATCTCAAAGTGAGTGAAATGCTTGCAATACTCACTTGACCATAAAAGTTAGGATCCATTGACTTGGACTCGCAGCTTTGCCAAGAGAGGCACAAGAAACCACATTGAAGCGTCACAAATCATGGAGCGCGGATTGTATCGCTTTATACGTATGTATATATATATATATATATATGTGCAGCAAAAGAAAAGATCACAGTTTAAAGTTCCCTTTCTCTTTTATGATCCCATATATACAGAAATGCACACATATATGTATATTTATATACATACGTTTGCTTCATTGCATTTGCCTCGATGCACGCAACATCAATCAATGTGACTGATAAGACGGTTTGAGTTATGAATTGAATTAATATTGAGGGTAGTGCCACAACGTAACTTGCTGCCCATACAAATTGATTGGCTACACACTGAGAGAATGACTGGGCCTGGGCTGGGCCTGGAAGATCGCATTCGCTTTGAAGTTGATAATAGATAAATTGATAGATCAATTACTAGCCGAGTTTGCGGCTTGTTTGGTATTTTCTCAATTCATTCAATTTACCATAAATAAGTGCAAAAGTCTACAGAGTCAAAGCTGATCGCTGTCGATCTTATTGAGATCATCTTTCACCTGACGCTAACAATCGCATATTATGTCAGCCGCCTTTTATTTTCACAACAACACAACAATTATAGTATATCTGTTTTAATTTATAAGAAAACAAGACATTTCGCGGTTCATTTTATTGGGATACATATATTTGTCTTTATGACGACCTTGACTAAATTGCCAAAAATAATTTGTATTCATTTAAATTGCAAACATTCATTCACTTTCATTTATTTATTGGCTTTTTAATTGTAGCTATAAAGTTTATATATGCTAATTTTATAAATATATACATAAATTCATATGCAAAATATGATGTTAAATTTGACAAATTTTGGGGTAATTTCTATTCTATGAATTTAGATCACAATATTCATGGGTCAACACAAAAATTTGCTTATGATTTTAAGAGGCAAAACTATTTATAGTTTTACACTATTTTCTTTAAGCTTGCATATTCTTGATATGCTATAAATACTAGTATGACTTAATAGAAATGTTGGACTATAAGATACTATGACCACTATATGTATTGTTCAGGTGCTAGAAGTATTTCTTTTTGTCGCTTAAATTAAAGTGAAAGGTAAAGTCCAATAACTTGTTACCCTCTTTTCGGTTAGACAAGTCTTTGCATGATAAAACTTTAATAATACTTGTAATTCCAATATTCAATGCATTTAATTGCCTATAAGAGAGCGAATGAGTGAGCAGCGTCTATATAATATAATTTTTTCTTCAATTCATATATATGTTCGTACAACTTCAATTTATTTGTCCAGCAACTCGTCATCAGCGCATAAATTAATAACACATGACTGGAAATCATTCTCACGCTTCGATAGGAACCGTTACGGCAATGCCGACTTTAAAAGTCCTATCAATTTAATTGCGACAATGGGAATAAAAAAATTAAAAAAAAAAATGACAATAAATTTTAAAAAAATATCACAACATATATTTTATATATATATAGGGATCTATATATATTTATGTACGTCTGTGTGTATATCTTTGTAAATTGCTCACTTGACTAGTCAGACATGGACTTGATGGCAGTTAACAATCAATCGACTTAAGTGGACTTTAAAGAGGCCCACAGAGAAACGAGACAGTGCCAAGTGAATGTCAAATATTACGAACTGCAAATATTCCGACGCCTACATGAAGGTATTGATTTTATATCAAAAGAAAACAAGAGCTCGTAAGAAATGCTGAAGCTAATCGTTGGCTTTAAAGAGGTGCTAATAATAGCTGATTAACATAGCTGTTAAATGGCTGTAAACCAAATGTGTGTGGAATTCATTAAAAGAAAAAACAGTTTTCTTTCTATGATATTAATGAGATTCCATTTCAGTCAAAATAGTAAAATTAAAAAAAAAAAAATTTTAATTAATAATAAGGGGTTTGGCTTAACACAAATATATATATAAAAAAAAATGATTAAATAAATAAAATAAAATAAAATAAAATAAAATAAAATAAAATAAAATAAAATAAAAATAAATAAATATATAAATAAAATAAAAATAAATAAGTAAATAAAATAAAAATAATAATAAAAAAATATATAAATATAATAAGTAAACATTGTTTTTTAATCAAAAAGGCTTTAAAATATTATATAAATACCTGTAAATATAAATTAATATTAATTCATGTATTTTTTTTTTTTTTTTAGTAA